GACAGCTGTGACAAACACACATAACCGAGACACGATTCTCGACGGAGCACAGCAATCTTCCACCCAGCCAATTGGATCATCATTCAACAATGTCCCATTAGAATCATTAACAATTAAAATCACATCATGTATTTCCTCAAATAAAGCACACGGGTTCAGTAATGGGCAAAAGATTGCAGAATAATTGAGCTGCTGTGCTTTTTTCTTGGCAGTTTGGCAGTTGTCTCCATTCAGCCTTTATGATGATAGAAGACAGCCGAGCGAATGTCAGAAATGCCCGTCTGCCATAAGTGACTTCAAACCTGGGTCTACTGAGAATTAGACTTGCTAAGTGCAGACGGAGCTGCTGAGAGACGGAGCACTTAGCGTGAGCTACTGCACAGTTTAACAGAACAAACCATCAGATGGTGTTCAGCAGAAATGCAGGTGTCCGGTCAGGGCGACATTCTGGGGCAGGAATGGACTCGCGTGTTTGCGGTTGGTGTGGGGAAACAGTCAGGCTTCTGTACTTCACCAAATGATGCACTAAAAAGTAGAGCCCGACCGATATGGGTTTTTTGGGGGCCGGTACCGATATTAGGGAGTAAAAAAAAAAGTCGGATACCGATATATCGGCCGATATTCTTTATGTGTAGGCTATATTATAGTACAGTATAGTCAAAAGTTTGGACACACTTCCCATTCGTGTGTCCAAACGTTTGACTGGTACTGTATATAGAATACAGTATATAGCCTACATAAACAGAATATATACACAGTATCTCACAGAAGTGAGTACACCCCTCACATCTTTGTAAATATTTTATTATATCTTTTCATGTGACAACACTGAAGAAATGACACTTTGCTACAATGTAAAGTAGTGAGTGTACAGAAGCACGTGATGATGATTTACTGCTGATTACAGAACCGGCTTTACTAACAAAATGCGCATGACAATCGCATTCGATTAATCGTGCAGCCCTATCTAAAATTAATAAATAATAATAATTAATTAAAAAAAATTCACAAACTCTGTGTTGTGTGTTTTCTGGTAATCAAATGAACATGCAGAACATCCATATTTAAATCGTATTTTTGCAGTTTAATATTCACAGACATAGTCTATATATATACTAACCTGTTTTTTATTTATTCATCAAAAATAAGACAAATTCCATGAAATTCCGCGTTATACAGTAAATTCCGTTTATTATGAATGGGCCGGCAAATTAGAAGACAAGCAGCTTACAACATCACGGCTTTCATACAGGACAAACATCCTCTCTTTCTGTGATTTCTGGGATGGAATTCTATTTATAGATTCCTATTAATAGATTCATATTAAATAGAAGAAAATAAAATCAGTGTGTACTAAGGCACAGCTTCCGTATTCACTTTCGCACATACTGCACTCATAACTAAACAGTAGTGTGGCCTTACTATGAAATATACTGTGACACTGAAGAATTGGCATATTTACATACCATGGACCACGATACCCCAAAAATTATGAAAATCCTGAAAAAATGTCAAAGGAACATGATTTCACCTTTGTCAATCAATTTCCAGAAGCACTGTAAAACAATGATACTGGAATCACCATTAAGCATGGCACCATCTAAAAACTGCATTGGTGCATCCAAAATCACGTCCTGAGTAGGTACTACATTTTAAATTGAAATAATTCACAACTGTTAAAAACGTATGTTCTATATAGTATGTACAATATAGGTAGTATTAAAAAATTCGGACATACTACAATCACCACATTTTAAATGTTAAATGACCTACTAGTGTCTGTTGCGACTTTTCACTGCCATGCATAAATCCTCTCCCATGGCCTCATGGGACAGTAAAGTAACCACCAAATGCGCACCTCAGAAGTAGTAGGTCATCCAGGTACTTTTTGCCTACTGTTTGTTAAATACTATGAATTCGGCACATCATTTTTTGTTTGTGTACTGTTTTTCGCATACTAGGGAACAGAGTTGGGCAAGTTACTTCCAAAATGTAATACATTATGTTAGGGATGCGCCGATCCGATATTCATATCGGGTATCGGCTCCGATAGTGCCATTTTTCTCGAATCGGGTATCGGTCAGAGAGGGCCGATCTAAATCCGAGATTTTATTTTTTTTTTTTTCCGATTGTGCGAATTATTCTGTGTTACTTCTGAAGCCATACGATAGCTTAATGTGAGCTACATATGAATATTTAAGTCCTTACATTAAAGTTCACACAAACTCTTTCCCGAGCTCAGGCTGAACAACACGTATTATACGGCCAATTTTAATTGACCAGTGTATCTATATTTGGTTGACTGTATTTTATTCTGATAATGAACGGCTGCAACGTTTGCAATGCTGTATGTTTGTGCGTGAGGCGCCGGCGCGATCGAACAGCGGAAACATAAAATACTCCATAATTTTTGGTCATACAGATCCTTCGAAACTGCAATGTGTTTACTTTTATTTTAGGATGCGCTTGTCATCTCGGTTTCCTTTCCGTGAACTTTTGCAGAGCGCCGCGCCACAAAAATGAACCAAAAACTCAGCAGCATATTTTACTCAGTCTTTTTTCTTTCGTTTTGTTAATCTGTTAATTATTTAAGTCAATATTATTTCACGTATTAATTCCTTTTATATGTAGACTATGATTTAATAAAAACAGATTGTTATTTTTAATTAAACTTAATTTGTTGCTCGTCCGCCGCATTCTTTCTCTTCTCTGACCCCGCAGTATGCCCATCTCACAAATGTAGAATCCGTCTCAGTCATCTCAACCATCGAATTACAGCAACAGGAAATAGACAAAGTATTTTACCCGAGGAATTTATTGTCTGGTGCTGTTTTGCGGTGTTGGTAAATAAATTCACCACTTAATTTTGAGTTAAAATATGTTGTTGTAACGTGCGTTACTGAGATTGTAACGAGTAATAATATTACCCAAATTTTATTAGTAATGCGTTATATTACTGCGTTACGGCAAAAAGTAATATACTACTGTAATGTCGTTACTTTTGTAATGCGTTACTCCCAACACTGCTAGGGAAGTATGTCTCATACACAACGCATGTCTAATATACAAAGCCTCTCCATATCAAAAGTCAAACATCATCTTATCAGTGTTATGTATTATTATTCATATACTACTACAGTATTTATTATCTTAAAGTCATTTTATTATGTGCTTTGGTCATTTTTATTGCACTTTTATTAATATATTTTTTTAAATGTAGCTTTATTTAGCTTTAATTTTTTTTACATTTAGTTGTAGTACTTTTAGTACAACTTAAACATATTACAGGTAGTTGCTAAAGCAAGCATTTCTAATTTTTGTGCTGTTTTTTTTTGTTTTTAGTCTGCTATTTATATTTTATTTTATTTCAGCTTTATTTCAATACTGAAATGTAGGTTTCTTTTAGTTATCAGCTGGGTCTGATCACTGCACAACATCAATGATTAAACATCACATAAGAACATGAGTCGGATTATAAAGGAACCTGTGATGAGTGTCAAAATAATTAAATATTATTAATGTATTACTCTGATGACGCGTGTACATAGAAAAACAGAGCTATAGTGAATCTAGACTGCGTTCCATAGACTTTATTCCTGGTCATTAGCAGGACAGGAACATTCCTGAACTGAGATGAAATGGCAGAATGGTTTCTGCCTCCAGCGTGGTTGTGTTAGATTCATGATTGACACCACATGATCATTTGGCTTCAGTCTGTCTGTCTCTTCGCAGCCATTTGGAGCCTGATTCACCCCACATGACCCAAAGCCTCCAATGTAGCCAGTGTCTCTGCCAGACTTTGCCCATCAGTGAGTCGCATCCCATGATTGAGCAGCATGAGGCAAAATTCATATTCCAATGAAACCATAAAATACTACTGTTCATTGGCATTTAAGCCACTGCTATGGAGATATTTACAGTCCCAAATAAGTATGACACAACAGACTCAAGTCATTATAAACTATAACAATAATCGATGACAAGTGTGCGAAGTATTCAGCAAAAATATTCAACATTGCAACATTTCAATTAGCAAAATTTTAAGGGCCCAATCGGCTCATGCAAACCAGTTGTTTTCTGGCACCCACAGGTTGCAAACATTCAACTATTTAAATGACACAATTATTAAAAATATTATGTTTTGTTACATACTTTCATAATTGAAGTGATAATTAATGACAACACCTTAAAGTTTATCCTGTGTGGTTACTAAAATGTTTGAAAAAGCTGTTAAAATAATATTTGTGACCCTGGACCACAAAACCAGTCATAAGTAGCCCGGGTATATTTGTAGCAATAGCCAACAATAACTTGTATGGGTCAAAATTATACATTTTTCTTTTATGCCAAAAATCATTATAGGATATTAAGTAAACATGTGCCATGAAGATATTTTGTAAATTTCCTACTGTAAATATATCAAAACTTAATTTTTGATTAGTAATATGCATAGCTAAGAACTTCATTTTGCAACTTAAAAGGTGATTTTCTCAATATTTAGATTTTTTTTTTTTTGCACCCTCAGATTCCAGATTTTCAAATAGTTGTATTTCAGCCAAATATTGTCCTATCCTAACAAACCATGCATCAATGGAAAGCTTATTTATTCAGCTTTCAACTGTATAAATCTCAATTTTTAAAAAATGACCCTTATGACTGGTTTTGTGGTCCTGGGTCACATTTATACTTTTAAATGTAAAAAGAATACACACTTCACAGGACCCCCACCAAATATTTTTTATAGAGCCATATACAACTTTGAGGGCTTCAAGTTCTCCAACGAAATCAAAATTAGCACCCTGTTAAAGACCAGTTTCAACGCAGGTCGTATATATTCATAATTCCCTAAGAATAGCCTTCATGATACGTTGTTACTATTACCACACATAAACCAAGCTATGACAAACGTTACAGCGTGTTCTGAAAGAGCTTCATGTATCAGACGCGTTGGTGTCAATGTCACGAGCATCAGCTGGGAGTAAGAGCCGTCTGTGTCTCACCTGAAGCGGCCGCCGCAGTGCTGGCATTGCTCCCCGACCCATCCCGGCTCGCACACACACACGCCACTGGCGGTGTTACACTGGCCGTTCAAGCACGTTTTATCGCACTCCTTCGCCTCCGTGGCCGCGGGGAGACGGACCAGTCCGCTGAGGGCTGTGATGAAGAGAAGATATCGCAGTATGGTGCCGTGAAGGCACCAGCCCCGGCCGAGGGCCATCCGAACCTCCGCGGCCATTCGCGCAGATACGGCCGACAGTCGGCGGCGAATCCGCTGCTAGTCACTAGCGGATGACGGGAGACAAAGGATGACAGTGTCGTCGATGCTGTCGGCGGCCCGTGCTTTCGTTTTGGAGGCAAATTGTTTTATCTTTTCTTCCCGTTCACATCTTACCGATGCTTATCGCTGCAGTACCGAGACGCATATTGACACCCGGACATGACGAGTTTTCGGGCGAGATGCGGAAGTACGCATTGATTGATAAGGAGCGCAGAATTTAATCCGGTAATTGGGATAAATGACCCAGAGCAAATGATATAAACATTAGGTATAATATAAAATATTTTAGAACTAAAGCAATATTATAATAGACACGTACAATGCCGCTGAAGTGGGGGTATTCTCTGTAGGATATTTACGTGGTTGGGACATAAAATTATAAAGCAAGCATAACTCTCTACAAATCTTTCTAGAGTTATTATAATATCAAATTGTATGTGATACGATTTCTATTCCATTTCACACATTCTGGTGTATTAAAAGTTCATTAAGTGGCTGTAGATAATCTAACTATAGCTCAACAGCGTTCCCTTATGGCATTTTGTGGTATTTAACCATCAAATATACTACTACTACACAATGTAACAAATGTTTCATTTAAAAATTTGTTATAGTTCCTCTGTAATGATTATTATTATATTGTTTATTTTCACATAGTATCGGAATTTAGGTCAGATAAATTTGAGAACTTTTATCATGAAACATTGGTTTAGTACAAATAAGTTTTTTGGTTTTTTTTTGCTAGATATTTTGCTTTTGCAAGGATGTGGACATTCCACAAGTTTCTGTACCATTCTGGAATATTCTAGTGCTTTCAGGAACATTTCAGAACATTGTGGGACTAGTCACAAAAGAGAAATCATCCAATGTGCACTTCTGAAGTTTTGGACTCACTTTGGCAAGTGTTTATGTTAAACTGTTGTTAGTTCAGTGTTATGCATGAGTACTACCAGATTAGCTTGTATAAATTGTCAACATTTTTTTTTTCATGGGCACTTTTAATTATACAAGTGAAAAAGTGATTTTTTTTGTATTCAGCATGTCAAACAAAGAAACTTAAAAAAATAAAAGTGAAAACTTTTAGAAAAATGTGTTTCACGGTGCTATAAAAGATTCTTGGAAAAGCATGATAACAGTATATAAAACATGCCTTATAGTAGGAAAATGCTGTAAAAAGTGCATCCATAAAAAAATGATTAAAAAAAAAAACAAAGCACTTTTACAAACATCATAGAACGTTTATTAAATTCTGACTTGTAAGAAGTCACAATAATTCAACGCACTCCACTGGATGAAGTGCATTCATATACCTTATTTATACCTCAAACCAATCCAACGGATTGATTTTTGTTCTCAACATAAATAAAAACAAATAAACATATTTACATAGACGGCAGGAGACATGGCTGGGCTAAATAATATGAACATGAAACGGATATCAACAGTCACAAGGAAAAAACAAAACATCTGTAGAACACTGGAGGAACAGACTTGTCAGAACCAAATGCTACATTAACAACAATGAAACAGGCATGAATAAAACCGATTTAAACCTAGAGACTGGAGAAGATCATTAGGCAGGGAGAGAGCCGTTGGAAGGATTTGCCACAGTGATCTGAACAAACGGGATCAGCACTCGTTGCTGTCTTCACTGGGTCGGGTTCACAGATACAGGTTAAAAGCTGAAGGGTTCACAAGTGGTCCCTGACGTGGATTACAGGATGCAGTCCTCGTGATTAAGGGTCAAAGGTCATATTCTCATGTCCGTTCTGCAGCATAACAGCCCCGTTCAGGAAACACACCAGTATTCACATACATACGGAAGCGGCTCCTGAAGGTGCAGAGGCACCCGGTGCTCTTTAACACGACCACAGAAATCAAATCTGTCACCAGAGACCATAAAGATCCACTCTATTGCCATTCTCTCAAACAATTCTTAGGAAAATCGTCCACAGAAGTTGAAAAAAAAGTTGTAAAAAGCAGTTACTATACAGAAAATTCCATCATATACAAAAGAAAATTGAGTCCCTCTAATCAAAATTGGTAAGAAAAATCATACAATCAGTAATTACCTGATATGTTACAATTAAGGGTGTGTGCTGAATATTTGGTCGAAGTGATTCCTCCAGCTTTATCCTTTCTCATTGTGTAATTAGTCAAAGCACTTCTTATTCAGGTTTTTTGTTTTTTTTAGGAAAATTATCACAATTCGTGTTTCAAAATGATTTGAAATACAGTAAACTACTTTTCTGGCTGCTAATGACAAGTATTTTACAGAATGATGTTCAAAGTCTCGGTTTCAAATCACTCAATTCTAAGTCTCATACTGACCATCATCACAAACGTGTCATTCGTGTCTCAAAGTCCAGCTTAAAGGCAGTTTGAATATTTCCACGTCCGCTCAGTCGCACGCAGATTCACGTTCATCAAGCCACTAACACTGTAACAGCGAGTGGCTCTAATGCCTCTGAACTTGTGCGTTCGGTCTTGAACGAGCGCCTTTAAAGCACGCAAAGCCTCTGTTGCTTATTATTTAAGCCTATTTACATTAGAGGAGAAAAATAACTCGTACAATTTTCCGTTCGGACAGGAAAGCACGCGTCGCACGACTTCCTGTTTAAGACATGCAGAGTGAACGGAGTCCGAAGGCAGGTCATTCATCAGCATTCGTTAGCACTGGAAAAACAACAACTCTCGTCCTACAGCAAGTGTGTGTGTGTGTGTGTGCTTCTGGAGTTTGGAATCATGGGATTGGTCAACGATGAGTTTAAAGAAATGCGATGGGGGCTTATTGTAAATCAGCGAACGCCCTTGGCACAAACACCACAGCGGGCAGCTTGTTTTATGGTTACGATGTGTTTGGTTTCAGTTGTAGAGGTTTGTGGAATGATCTGTTGTTTAGTTGGGCTCAGTTTATCTGCTCTTTATCTGTACGGTAGTGTCTGAATGAAGTGCGTTCTAAGAGGTGGTGACTGGTTGTGTTTGTCATCCCGCAGATGAGGCACAGTATGTGTCTGTTTTTGAGTGGGAGTTCTAGTTTGAGGAGGATATCTGGCGCGACGGTCGTCCTGCAGATGAAGCGCTGTACGTTCGAGTGCGTTGTCGGATTCTGCAGGGCACCTCCAGCTCCTGGAATATAGGGGCCTCTGTGATCTCTGACGCCTCTGGCCGCTCGGCGGGCACTCGGGACAGCATACAGCGCACCATCTGAGCCTAAAACACAAACATAATGATATGTATTTATTTATGTTTTAATGCCATATCAGCAACAATGGCTATATGCATGCCAACATTAACAGTACTATTTCAATACATCATTTACAATAATGTAACATTTTCTTAAGCAATCACTATACAGTACTGATAAAAATCATACAGAATCTTAACATAATGATATTAGTGTGTGGAATGTTGCATTTATATATATGTGACCCTGGACCACAGAACCAGTCATAAGGGTCAATTTTTTGAAACTGAGATTTATACATCATCTAAAAGCTGAATAAATAAGCTTTCCATTGATGTATGGTTAGTTAGGATAGGACAATATTTGGCCGAGATACAACTATTTGGAAATCTAGAATCTGAGGGTGCAAAAAAAATCAAAATATTGAGAAAATCCCCTTTAAAGTTGTCCAAATTAAGACCTTTTAGCATTGCATATTACTAATCAAAAATTAAGTTTTTATATATTTACGGTAGGAAATTTACAAAATATCTTCATGGAATATGATCTTTACTTAATATCCTAATGATTTTTGGCATAAAAAAAGAAAAATCTATCATTTTGACCCATACAATGTATTGTTGGTTATTGCTACAAATATACCTGTGCTACTTATGACTGATCACAATTCGTGTTTCAAAATGATTTGAAATACAGTAAACTACTTTTCTGGCTGCTAATGACAAGTATTTTACAGAATGATGTTCAAAGTCTCGGTTTCAAATCACTCAATTCTAAGTCTCATACTGACCATCATCACAAACGTGTCATTCGTGTCTCAAAGTCCAGCTTAAAGGCAGTTTGAATATTTCCACGTCCGCTCAGTCGCACGCAGATTCACGTTCATCAAGCCACTAACACTGTAACAGCGAGTGGCTCTAATGCCTCTGAACTTGTGCGTTCGGTCTTGAACGAGCGCCTTTAAAGCACGCAAAGCCTCTGTTGCTTATTATTTAAGCCTATTTACATTAGAGGAGAAAAATAACTCGTACAATTTTCCGTTCGGACAGGAAAGCACGCGTCGCACGACTTCCTGTTTAAGACATGCAGAGTGAACGGAGTCCGAAGGCAGGTCATTCATCAGCATTCGTTAGCACTGGAAAAACAACAACTCTCGTCCTACAGCAAGTGTGTGTGTGTGTGTGTGCTTCTGGAGTTTGGAATCATGGGATTGGTCAACGATGAGTTTAAAGAAATGCGATGGGGGCTTATTGTAAATCAGCGAACGCCCTTGGCACAAACACCACAGCGGGCAGCTTGTTTTATGGTTACGATGTGTTTGGTTTCAGTTGTAGAGGTTTGTGGAATGATCTGTTGTTTAGTTGGGCTCAGTTTATCTGCTCTTTATCTGTACGGTAGTGTCTGAATGAAGTGCGTTCTAAGAGGTGGTGACTGGTTGTGTTTGTCATCCCGCAGATGAGGCACAGTATGTGTCTGTTTTTGAGTGGGAGTTCTAGTTTGAGGAGGATATCTGGCGCGACGGTCGTCCTGCAGATGAAGCGCTGTACGTTCGAGTGCGTTGTCGGATTCTGCAGGGCACCTCCAGCTCCTGGAATATAGGGGCCTCTGTGATCTCTGACGCCTCTGGCCGCTCGGCGGGCACTCGGGACAGCATACAGCGCACCATCTGAGCCTAAAACACAAACATAATGATATGTATTTATTTATGTTTTAATGCCATATCAGCAACAATGGCTATATGCATGCCAACATTAACAGTACTATTTCAATACATCATTTACAATAATGTAACATTTTCTTAAGCAATCACTATACAGTACTGATAAAAATCATACAGAATCTTAACATAATGATATTAGTGTGTGGAATGTTGCATTTATATATATGTGACCCTGGACCACAGAACCAGTCATAAGGGTCAATTTTTTGAAACTGAGATTTATACATCATCTAAAAGCTGAATAAATAAGCTTTCCATTGATGTATG